CAGAAGTTCAGTTTGCATCAGTGCTCTGCAGAGTCTTAAATATTATGAAACAGTGGTCTGCTTAAATGTTTTCCATATGCGACTAGAAGCGAGGGTACGATGAGTTTACGTAGAGTAAATCAGTATCAGAAATGGAAATTTTATGAATACTCTGCGGAAATTGAAAGCAATGGTGTGTACCTTCCTCAAAACGTCGCATTCATTGCTTATTGTCAACATTTCAGCCACCAAATTTCAGGCAAGAACAGCAAGCAAAAATGCCGAGGATTAATGAGGAATACCACGCAGGTTCAACAAGCATAGACAGAAGTTCTATCATTTAACGATACCAAAAGAGACCTATGCTTGATTAGGGAAATGTGCAGTGATTCGTTAATCACTAACTTAACTTTATTCTTTTCATAATCAACCACTGAAGTGTTTTATGCTGTGATATCTTCATCATGTTCTAACTCCTGAGTTCAACACGTTCATTGGCAGTGGATCGTGTGCGTTAACCAATTCAAAAGATAAACGTTCTGAAGCTCTTCTCAAAATAAAGACCCTCACAGCTGCAATACCGAGCTAGTCGATTAGTTGGTTGGTACAGTAATCGGATGTCCATTTCCTCTGTCATTACTGTAATCGCTCGGTATACTTTGCATTTCGGATGCCCCGATCTGGCAGTTTAGTTCAGCGTAATATTTGCTCTGTTCCAATTGATCGTTCCGTTGATTGATCTGGGTGAGTTTACTGTGCTTTTCTTTGTCGCGAAATATGTGATACCGTATGCCCTATTCATTAGCAGATGATTGACCGGTTGCATTATCCCCGTAAAGCTCTTTGAATACTCAGCAAGACAGCAATGAAACTTTTTCACAGACCTAGCCATGCTGTGCTACAGTTCGAATGTTGACCATTTGGCTAGTGCTAGTCTAGTCTTCAATGAGATAGGGAAGTAAGAGTAATAATCAAGTTCAAAGGAAAGCTGATAATATGCATGTCGTGAGGGAAGTGACTACTGTCATCGAACAATGTCCCGCCATGATTGAATGAACGATGAATGATTTAATGTCTATACTCCTGTAGGGCGTTCGAACTCGCTGACTACTGAGTTGTCATGACACCAGCTTGGAAAAAGCGCATATTCGGGAAGTCCTTTCAGGTACATATATATTGACTGAGCGTCTATCACTGGAAAAAGATAATCACCATGACTATTGATTTTTAAACGTTGCAAAGGTCATTCGCAAATTGGCTGACATCATGGCCGTCGCAGTGTTTCGAAACAGGCACGAATATCGATCTTCCTAATAACTTAACACGTCTTCGGGCTTTCACTTAGTAGTCGATATTGAAGGTCCTATATAGTTGGTAATGAAAGTTAGCGTGACAGCATGAGCATGAACAGTGTTGGTAAGACTCAACCAAGGCACCATGCTGTTCGTAGTATTTGCCGATCAGCGACCTTCTGCCCGTTTACTTGGGGGTGCTTGCACCCAAGCACAATGTGCCATGTCCCTCTGCGTTTTAACTCACACTCTAACGTGCAAAGAAACTGCGTCACTGCCCCCTGCTTGACGTAAGAAGCATCCAGCTGAAGTTAAACAAGCAAATAATCCAGGCGTTAGA